AGGTATCTATTTGTTTTCTAGTTTATTATAGAATTGTGTTGTGCTGTGGTGGTTTTGCTGTTGTCGGCTGCAATTCAGTTGATGACTTGTGTTTGTTCAATCTCTGCAGTTTATTGTTTAGTGTTGAATTTGGAAAGTGAAATCTTTTCCCCAATGTTAAGGAGGAAAACTAGGATAATAAAACATAAATTTATTTTAAATGATGTCTTGTTACTTTCTTGTTGCTTGTTAGCTTGGTAGTAGCACTGAGGCACCCTTCCAAAATTTGAAATCATGTAAAAAAAAGGAGTGAGGTATCAGTTTTTATGAGCCACTTTTGAAATTGAATTATATACAAAGATTGATTAATGATTGTTTTTGAAAATTTTGATTTCCCCGGTTTTGATTCATTGAAGTGCTAGTGGACAGGCTTGTCAAGAAGATCCCTAGATAGATGATGAACCATCTGATGGACTCAGCAACGGTGCTGATGTTGGTGAGGTGGATTCTGATGGGGAGGATATATGGCGTTGTAGAGATATCCGTGATGGCAGGATAAAATATGGTGAGCATGAAGACAATGGTAGGGACGAATCTTCAAGGCGGCGTACTAACCATGGATTGGGAAGATCAACGGGGAAAGGAATGGCCAACGATGGGCTGCTAGAAAGTGAACCCATTTTGTCATCTACTGGTTCTGCCAGTCGATTAGGACAGGGGTGGAGTGGTAAAGATAGGAGTTCTTTGAAGAACACTGATGTTAAACGGGTACCTGATTCTAAAAAGGCTCTTACCAGTACCATTTCCGAAAGAGAGGATAATGATGCTTGTTTCCAAGAGTGCTTTATTGGAAGTAAAGATATCTCTGATCTTGTTTGAAAAGCAGTCCAAGCTACTGAGACTGAAGCTAGATCAGACAATGCCCCTGAAGAAGCTGTCAAAGCAGCTGGTGATGTTGCTGCTGATCTTGTTAAAACTGCAGCTTTAGAGGTATGCCAATGCTCATTCACTTTTTTCCACTACAAAAAATATACTTTTGCAAAAATACGTGTCAGTGTGCAGTACTGCATATTTTATTTTCAGAATTGAAATGACATTTTATTTCATGTATAATTTTCAGGAATACAAATCCACGAACAATGAAGAGGTAGCTTTTTTGGCTGCTTCTAGAGCTGCATCAACTGTTATCGATGTTGCATCTGCTGTTGAAGTTTCAAGGTACATGAGAATAATATTACGAGCAATTTAAATGCTCAGACAAAGAATTGCCAGATAGGTTCTTTTAGTCCTGTTGACAATGTTCTTATTGGGTTGGTCACAGGAAATCTGTCTGCATTAGTACAGAGACAGAGAATGTTAGTGGCTGTGAAACAGAATCTAGTGAAGATGTTGAAGATTATTTCATCCCAAACATTCAAATACTTACACAATTAAGGGAAAAATATTGCATTCAATGTCTTGCGTTACTTGGAGAATATGTAGAAGTTCTGGGACCTGTATTGCACGAGAAGGGGGTTGATGTTTGTCTTGGAGTTTTGCAGCAAAATTCTAAACATCAGGATCCATCCAAGGTTGCTCTCCTATTGCCCGATGTCATGAAGCTGATATGTGCTTTAGCTGCCCATAGGAAATTTGCTGCACTATTTGTGGACCGTGAAGGAATGCAAAAGCTGCTAGTAAGTTCATTAGATGTTCATTAGATGTGACTTGCTAGTAAGTTCTGTTTCTAAATCCAATACAAATCCTACACCGCACGTGTATTCATTCTGCTAAGATGCAATTAATGTGGGTCTGCCACCGCTTGTTGGGTTCAATCTATATTACTTTCTTCATGTCTTTAATTCTCTTACCCATGCAAGCTATGTTGTCATTTTACATTTCATTCAGATCTGATATCTGTGCAGGATGTCTTCATTAATCCTACTTTCATTGAGCCATTTGGTCTTACCTTAATTGAGGTGATCTTCTGAATCTTGAATTAATTACTATTAGTTGATTTATTTTTGAAGTTGTAAACACTAACTTGTGTCTTTGTTGAACAGGCAACTACTTATGGTTTGTCAATGGTTGCTACAAAAAATGGAGGTACTGTTGATATTCATTGAGTATGTTTATTGATTAGTGGTTATGTTATGTATTGATCTGTAAAGGTTCCCGTGGAAACATGGTTGATTAATTGATTATCGATACAGGTGCTCGGCAATGGTCTGCTTATAGATCCCCATGATGAGAAGTCTATTGCAGATGCTCTTTTGAAACTTGTTAGCAACAAGCAACTGTGGGCAAAATGTAGACAGAATGGTTAGTTATTAAAATCTCCAAAAGAGTTTCTTCGGCGTCAACATGTAAGCTTTCTTGCTCCATCTTTTTTATACATATTTGTCAAATGTTAGTACAGGGGTCTGGATTCTATATTGATATACATATGATGACCAAAATCTCAAACATTACTAGAAACTACACTGAGTACAAAGACACAAATTTGTAGATGCACTTAAAAAAATACAACTACTTCTAAGTTCAGTTCGAAGTTTGTCAGTCAAAATAAGAGAGACACGACTTTGCAAAAATACCAGGTTCATTTTCTCTTGAAGTCATAGATCTTCAAGTAATTACTCTTCAGCGTAATGTCATGGTTTTGTTTTGTGCTTTTATCAGTTGTAGGTTTAATATAATCATATTTACTATACTGTAGATGCTTTTCTTAAATTACAGTGAATTGACACAATATAATCAACATTCTACTTGCTCTTGCCCAAACATCACATGTGTAGAATATTTTAACATAAATCTTTTTGATACATTGTTTCATGATGCACATGATCTATATTGACTCTTGTTTATGATGCCCCATAACTGTGGAGGATTCCTTATATTATCTTCATTTTACTTGCAGAGTATGCTTTCAAGGCAATTGATGCACTGCCTGTTTCTTCTCATCCAATGACACAGTTTAGTACTGGTGTAATGGCCCTCCAGGTTGAGTGCAAATTCTTTTTTGAATTCTAATTTTTATAGTATTTCTTTTGTAATTCAACTGCATTTTGACGGTCACATTCATTATTGGAAACTTGTGTTTGTGATAACCTGTCCTTTCTTAAGAAAAATAGCCTTTGTTGCTTCATGTTTTGTTATGTTGGCTTATACGCCTGTAATTTGATAACATTAACCAATGAAGAGATTTATGAAATTTAATTAACCACAGGGTGATAGATAGTGGTTCAAATTTAGGCCAAATAAGGGGAAAATTGGGTAATTCAATTGACTGGCAAAATACGTCACTATTCAATAGGTACCGTACATCTAACCTGTGCTTGATTCACCCAGTCATAGAATTGTTTTCACAATTAACGAAAAAATGTTTGGTAATATTCTGCTATTCAAGACGAGTCAAAACGTTGTTGGTGAGATTTTCCTTTTTCAGATTATCATGCTTCAATGTTGTTTGGAAATATTACATTGTGCTGCTATTTTGATTATTACATTGTTCTGGTTTTTCAGATTATAAACAATACATTATAGTATCAATCAAGATGATACTGGTTCCATTATAAATGAATTGTCATTTTAAATTTCTAATACAAATCACAACTGATTCTCCATCTTTTTGCAGGAATGTATCATGGGAACTCTCAAAGATAAGATTGTTTTACTTGTAACTCATCAAGTTGATTTCTTGCATAATGTTGACTCTATCATGGTATGAATATGCTCACAAGTCCCTAAATTATTGAGTTTTTCTGTAAATGGAAGTTAAATTCAATTTGTCCCGACTTATCTTAATCTTACCAATAGTATTAGATATTATTGGATTATATAGGGTGTAATTTTGGGTTGTTTCGTTCTGAAGTTTGGATTATATATGTGGATTTATGCTGAACTGCTATATGGTTTTTGAAAGACAGCTGCAGACTGTTATTTTTAAGTTGTTATTTAATTCTAATTCCTATTATGTTTGAATGATAAATGGTGGCTTTGGATTCATATCGTGGTTGATTTGTAACACGTCACGGCAGATTACACGTTTTGGAGTTGAGATTCAATGGTCACTACAAAAAAAGTTTGTGTTTTAATTTTATGGTTTGCAATAGTTAGTAATTATGTGGATGCTGGTCCAAGAGTAAGACCTGTTGCAGGTCCTGATATCTATAGAGGTAAAAATGTGGCCAAAGATTCTCTTGCTCCTGGTGAGAAAGTTGTTAATGTGATGAGTTTTGGAGCAAAACCAAATGGAAAATTTGACTGCACTCAGGTAGATTATATGATATATTTTGGCTAATTATTTGGCTAATCATGTTGAGTTATGCTATGAATAAGAATATTTGCAGATAGTGTTTTTATTATTCTCTGTTGATAAATTTGAGACTTTAGAAAAATTGACATTTGATTCTTTGGTATATAGGTAAATATTTGTTAATGCTGTGTTCAAATAATTGCTTTGAAAATTAAGTCTTTAGTCATTAATGGTGATATAATATAGACAAAAGCTTCATGATTAGACTAATTTTTGCAACATGGAATCAAATGCTGTTGAGATTAAAACAATTATAATATAATACATTTTGTTGCAAAAATGTGTTGCCTGTTCTGAACATCCGTCGTGTGCTAATGACTGCTATTTGTAGGCTTTGTTCAGCTTAAATTCATTGGTTTGATGACAGTTAGGTGTGTTGGAGATGCGGCATGGTTTTGGAAACAAAACCGGATGCTGATACTCCCGCGATGGTGTGCGAAGACGACGGGGTTGCTGCTTTGAAATGTCGTCAAAAGGAAGCGTGCCGACCCTCAACATCTACTTTCTGCCATCATTCACGGCGAAAACTGGGTGTCTTTGACAGGTACACAATGTTGTAATCGCTTTCGTATTATCTGTTCTTCTTTGACTTAGTTCGAAAAGTTGAGACCAAAAATCTTTCCCCTGCCGCAGGTTTTGGAAGAGAGCCTGAAGTTGTCCTTACGTGATTATCTCCTAATCCTCAAAGCAAGTATTCAAATTAAATCCTTCTAAAGGTCATGCTATAATGGCTGTTTATTCTGTAGGAAGTTGGACTGCTCCTGTTTCGGTTCCGAATCTCCCATGTCCATTAGAATTGTTTTCACAATTAACGAAAAAATGTTTGGTAATATTCTGCGATTCAAGACGAGTCAAAACGTTGTTGGTGAGATTTTCCTTTTTTAGATTATCCTGCTTCAATGTTGTTTGGAAATATTACATTGTTCTGCTATTTTGATTATTACATTGTTCTGGTTTTTCAGATTATAAACAATACATTATAGTATCAATCAAGATGATACTGGTTTCCATTATAAATGAATTGTCATTTTAAATTTCTAATACAAATCACAACTGATTCTCTATCTTTTTGCAGGAATGTATCATGGGAACTCTCAAAGATAAGACTGTTTTACTTGTAACTCATCAAGTTGATTTCTTGCATAATGTTGACTCTATCATGGTATGTATATGCTCACAAGTCCCTAAATTATTGAGTTTTTCTCTAAATGGAAGTTAAATTCAATTTGTCCCGACTTATCTTAATCTTACCAATAATAGTATTAGATATTATATTTTAGCTTATATTTTGACATCAACTTTAAAGGTGATGCGTGAAGGAAGAGTAGTGCAAAGTGGAAAGTATGATGAACTTCTCAAAGCAGGCCTAGATTTTGGTGCACTTGTGGCAGCTCATGAATCCTCTATGGAGATATTAGAAACAAGTGATAATTCCAATGATGATTCTTCTCAGTCTCCAAAACTTGCCTGCATTGTATCGAAAGAAAAAGAAAGCGGGGTTGAAAAGCAGTCCTCTCAAGATCAATCTAAGTTTGATGATAAAACTGCAGCAAAGCTCATTGAAGACGAGGGAAGAGAAACTGGACATGTGAGCCTTAAAGTATACAAACAATATTTCACAGAAGCATTCAGATGGTGGGGAATAGCACTTGTAGTAGCAATGTCAGCTGGTTGGGTGTTGTCATTTTTAGCTGGTGACTATTGGTTAGCAATTGCAACTTCTGATGGTTTTAGCTGGGTGTTGACATGATTATGGAACTTTCATTTTACATGATTATGAAACTCACTTTTTTCAATATTATAATGTTTATTTGATATTAAGTTTTGGAATTAATTTTACTATGCTAAAAAGCGATAGAAATAAATTTTAAAAAAAAACTATAAATAAAAATATTATTGTTTAAATAATTTAAAGAAAAAATAATATAACTATTTTAGTAGATAATAATTTAAATAAAAAAATATATTATAAAACAATATAATACAATATATAGAAATTAATAATGAACCGTCAAGATATCACATTCACGACAATTTTAAACCGTTGCAATCAACAATGGTAACAAAAATCAAAAGGATATTCACGACAGTATTTAACTGTTGTCATTTCCAATTTATGTCAGTTCCAACCAGTCGTGAAATAGAGTTCATGACAGTTTTAAACCGTCACAATCAACAATGAAAATAAAAATCAAAAGGATAGTAATGACGGTCTTTAACCGTCGCTATCTCCAGTTTAGGTCAGTTCAAGCCCGTCGTGAAATATAACGACGGCTGTGTGTGACGGTTTTTTCAACCGTCGCTAAACAGCTTGGGGACACACGTTTCTGCGACGGTACTACAACCGTCGTAGAATGTAATTGGTGGTGGTTTTAACCGTCGTAACCTGCCAAAATAACCGTCGCAATCCATCGTTTTTCTTGTAGTGCTAAACAGTAAACAGTAAACGACTGTAAAATGCATGCAATGCAAGTGAGGGAGGAAATGTGTGTGGGGTGTCAGCCTCCACAAGCTCATCTCAACCTCAAGCCAGATATGAATAACTGTAATCATACAGAGGAAATAAAATAAAGTGCTATCAAGCAAGATACCATAAACTGCAATCATACAGAAGAAATGAAATGCTATCAAGCAAAACAAACCACATGGGCAAGGGAGCTGGGCTCTACCGAATACCCGCAAGCAAAGCCATACAGTAAAAATGCAAGCAGAGGGAGCAACTCAACCTCTAGTGCAGTCATGCTCCTAGCTTAAAGTCAGTCTAGATATGAACTTATTCTAATGCATCAAGCAAGTCAAACAAGGCACATCAGCACAGAAAAGGAAACAGACAAGAAAAGAAAGCAGATCCACCCCTCTTTCAAATCCAAGCTTCAGCTCTTCTGATAGCAATCCAGTCTTCAGACTTCAACCACCCTTCAAGGCTATCATCCTCCATGACAAGTATCAACTTGCTTCTTTAGGTTTCAACCCATCAAACATAAGTATCCACTTATTCTCTTTTCTTCAAGCCTCAGCTCTTCAGTCAATTCCACCCTCAGGCTTCACTCCTAACTACAAGTGTCAACTTGATTCCTTCAGGCTCTCAATACATCAATGTAAGTATCAACTCATCCTTTATTCCTCAAGCCTCAGCTCTCCACTCAATCTCAATTGAATCCTCCTCATAAGTATCAACTTGTCTTCAAGCTTCAGCTCTCTTTGCTTTTCCAGTATCAACTTGGTCTTCTTCCCCTACAAGCTTCATCTTCTCAGAGTAATCTTCAATCACCTGGAAGTGTCAACTTCATCCTTCAATTCTTTTTCAAGCCTCAACTCTTCACTCAATCTCCATTGGGTCTTCAAGTATCAACTTGTTCTTCTTGCTCTTCAAGCTTCAGCTGCAATGGCAATGCTCAAGGAATCATCCTCTTCCACACTCTTCAATGAAGTCCTCATCTTCAAACTCAAGTCTAACATCTTTCAAGATACTCAAACCAGAAGACAATTGATTTAACAGAATGAGTGAAAATGATAAACAACTTATTTACAACCAAAGGAAGCCTGTAAGGGTTCATCATTATGAGAGATTGGTTCCCTCAAAGTTCTACTTCCCAGATAAAGCCACTCATCCCTCCAAAGGAGATATGTGATTATCTTAGAAGGACTTTTAGTCATTGGTAGGAGTGGAAGCACAAGATGTTTTCCATATTTGTGGAAGAAATCATTCTAGTTATAAGGCTCTCCCTATGGCTCCTACCTCCTAAATCTTCATCAGACACCTTCAGGAACAAGCAACTCCTAGCTCCAAGCAACTTCAAGCAACTTCAAGCATCCTCAAATTGTCTTCAACTTGTCTTCAATCTCAACCAAAGGCAAACAAAGCAAAACCCTAGTCTAAGGGGATTAAAGAAGTTAATCTATTTGAGTTAGTAAGTTAGGATCACCTAAAACCTAGTACTAAAGTTAATCCTAACTAAAATACTAAAACCAATTGTAAAATCCTACAAAAATGACTATGGGAACCTAGGTCAATCATGACTCTACAATATTAATTCCATAGATCAAATCATCAAATAAGACCTAGAAATAAATTCTACACCACAAGGTACTAAATATAAACCCTAAAAGGAAGCACCTAAAGCTAAATCTAGAAACCACACCTATTTTCATTACAAAAATCTGAGAAAAATGCTATGGGAGCATACATGTCTAACCTAATCACACACAAAAAATTAGGATCAAAATCATCACCACATGATCACACAAAATTCCACAAAATTAGGTATCAAACATAACCATTTTAATATCAATTAAAATATAAAATTCCCATAAAATCAGAAAATGCCTGAAATGAAAATATTTTTTTTTCTAAATAATACTAGACCCTATCATGAATCTAATGCAAAAAGAATGGGATTAATTGGATCACTTTTCAATTTTATATGATTTTATCAAGAACCATGAATACAATGAAAAAATAAAAGAAAACCAAACAAAAATAATAAAACCACGGTGCAGATAGTAAACATGCTCAGTTCATTCTATGGATTGGGCCATGAGGGGGGTGTGGATAGCAGTCTTTTCACTAAGCCCAGCATCAACACTAAATGAAACGATGCGTTTCATTAACTCAGATCCTTCACAACTTGAAATTAAAACGTGGCCGTTGGATCACTCCTCTAGTCAAAGGTCTCACCACATCCAATGGCTCTAAAGTCATCTTCTACCTTTTGAACCTCTAAACTTCGTGCGCAGCTCCGGCCACCACCGGTGGTGCTCCGGTCATCGTCCCCAACCCTAACTCTCTCTAGGATCCTCCATTGCAAATGGTCTATACATGAATCTTGTCCCAAATTTCCTCACGAATCCATTCATGCCCTTTATTCTCTCTGAAACCTCAAGATTCGCCATAACCAATTCTCAACCGAAAATGGTAACATCCTAAATTGGTCACTAATTCTCAAATTAATGGTCTGAAATCATTCCTACACCGTTCTACAATGCATCTAACACCCTAATTCATCTTGATTCTACCTAATTCATGATGGAGGAAGAAAGTTACTAACCTGAAAATTCTTGATGAACAGATGCACTAAAACATCAAATCAAGCTCCCCAATCTTCCAGACACGATCAATTGATCCTTTCCTTGCTTCTGTATGCAATAGAACTGGTTGAAAACTCCTGAATCTTGAAACCCGATGGTGAGTTGCAGATGGAAAAATCTGAGCTCAAGAACACCAATCAGCCACGAATTCCTCTTGATTATGATCTGAACTCAATCCCTAGCATCCATGGAAGAAGTTGCAATCAAGAAAATGGATGGAAAGTGAAGAAATTGGTGAAACTGAATTCAGTTGCAAGCTGTGCAATTTCAATCTCAATCTATGCTCTCTCCTTCAATCATCACCAACCTTTGCATTGGATCACCTCTACTCAATATATAGATGATGTATGGATGATCTAGAACCCTTTAGATCCTTCTAATGAGTTTCAATCTCTCATGTCATGAGTTTTTCAACCATATGCCATGATATGCATAGTTCTATTTGCAGCTTGAAACCAATCCCATTCTCTTCCAATTTCTCCCCTAGTGACATTTTGAAAGTGTTTAGCTTGCAAAGGGCCTTGGTTATGCCTTGATTCTAGGTTTTGCAAATGTTACTTATGATGTAAGTAACTACTTTTCAAAGCAAGTCCACAAATTGGACCTCAACTCAAAAATGTGGCTAAACCAATGTTCTTAAAATGTTTTCTAGAGTCAAAATGATATATTACATGCCTTGGTTTGGATGTGTAGGTCAAAAATATCAATTTCCAACTTTGGTTTATTTAACTTATACCCTTATTTTAGGTCATTTTTGCAACTTTGAGCTACAAGCATTTAAATCATCTTATGACCTCTTTAATAGCCTTAAAACATCATTTTGAACAAGTTTGATGTTGAACATTTTCCCATTTGAAGCTTGGAAATAGGAGTTATGGCCTTATGGTTGGAATGACCTGTAATCTCCAAATAACCAAAATACCCTTGACTTGTCAAAGCCATAACTTGAGTTCTACAAATCCTATCAAGGACTTCTAGTACTCTATAGAAACCTAAGAAGATAAGGAACAACATTCATGTTGACCAAAAGTTTATATGAATCATCCTTCTTGGGAAAACGTTTGATGCAAGTTAGGTAACTATCAAGCCCCCAAGTTCACATACCTCAGATGACCTGTAACTTGTCAAAGTCATAACTTGAGTTATACAAATCCTATCAAGGACTTCTAGCACTCAAATTAAAGCTAAGCTCATGCTCTACAACATTCATGTTGGGGGTGGGATGATATAACAATCACATCTTGAGCTAAACTTCCTTGAAGATAGGGGTCAAACTAGGGGATTTTACACTGTCAAGCCTTAGAAACCCTAGCTTGAAACTTCTCAGACTCTTCAATCATGATGAGTTGACCTTGGAATCATCCTTATAACATCTCAATGTATTAATCCATGATCACATGGCCTTTGAATTAGGTCTCAACCTTGTTCAAATCATCAGTCGACCTAGGGTTGACCCAATCAAACCCTAATTACACCACTTATGGCTGAGTCTTCTTAATCTTGCACAATGACCTATCTAGGCTTCATGATGGCTTTCAAGACATCTCATAATCTCTCTCAAGGCTTCAAGTCCAACTTCATGGCTTCAGAATCATCTGAGGGTCTTCCCCATAACTCTCAAGTTAAGAGGCACACACTCTTGGTTTCAACCATTCTCTCCGA